AATCCAATGCTTATTTTGCAATTTTAGACTAAGCTAAATTTTTCAATCCATCTACTTTCCTCAACAGCTTTATGCAGCCATTACCGTTGTAGTGCCCCCCATAAAAAGAAAAAAGAGAAATATGAAATGAAGCAAGCCAATCAAACTGTCTTTGGCCACATCTGAGCAAGATTTTTTATAATTTGATTGACAATGCCAATGACGAAATGCAATTCTATTGATGGAATCACTTCCAAAACACTCGTTTGGTCTTCAAAAATAAAGAGTGGAGGATACACAGCATTTTGGAATAATTTGGCAGTCTTTGTGTTTCCTCCGCTGTTGAGGAGGTCCTAAAAATGTTTTCTGATTTTTCCAAAGGTTCTCATTTCACCACATTTATAGAATTTGTTGGCTCAACTTCATACCAACAACATGGGTACTTGATGGCATGTGATTAAATTCCACATATGATATTTGCCAATTTGAGATCTCATGAGACAATCAAGGGGCTTAGTGAGCAAGCTTTTTCTACTTGAATGAGATCAAAAAAATTTTAAACATTTTTATATGGTTCTGGAGTATTTTGTGCAACTGCCACAATCAATTGCTTATTAGTGATTTTGAAGCCTTCTTGAGAACACAACTAAACAGACTTTTGAATAGGACTGTTAAGCTCAGATTTATCCCGCTATAAGTCAACCAAGGTCAAACTCACTTTTAAAAATGAGCCATCGCCATCCATTCCAAGCTTATGGATGGATCCCTGATCACGGCATTTTGAGATGACAACGAATTCTTTTAGTTGATGTAAGTCAAGGCAATGAACAACATGACACTCTTTAGTTTCAGACAACTTGATGGTGCTCACTGTAAAATTTTCTTGTAAAATTTTCCATAGTCTGCAAGTTTTTGTTAAAAGTTTGCCTCAACCAGTCGAGTAGGGCTAATTTAATTAAAAGCAGATCCAAAATTCCTCAAGCCTGTGTTTGAAAGTCCTGTATTTTATTAAATGGCAACAATTTCTTGAGTACTAAAGGTGTTTGAAAGAGTTACTGAGATGCTGATGAGGAACCTTAAAACCATTAACTAATGTGATTTTACAATTATTCTGAAAATTGTTTTTGTGTTTTATTTTTTCTCACAGCCATTCTTGGGTCATGGAATTAACTAATTCGAATTGTTCTTCTTGGTGAGTCAAAGTTGTAACTTGAATGAATTCAAAATTGAAAAGTTTTTGCAGATTTTGTACTGATTCATTGCCACATGATTGATTTATCTTAAAACAACAAACCATGCAAATTCCTATTGGAACTCTGTCATCGTCAAAGTTTATTTTTTTTGAAAAAGCTTCCAAAGTCTTTTTCCTGAAGGACTCTGTCATTTCGCGGTCGGCTTTTTTCATAAAAATAAAGCAGACAGATTTCCTGCACTCATTTTGATCTTTTGCAAACGTGGGCATTTTGGAAATTTTATTTTTCGTTTTACAGTTTCCAATTTATGTTTATGGATTATAAACGAGTTAGCTCCAGAGATGTGTTGAGCCAATAGATGAGTTCAATAAATTTAGATAAATTTTTAACCTTGAAAACATATTCTATATATTTAGCTTCCTTTTCACAATTAAAAAATAAAGATAAAAAATATAATATTTTTTAGAAAAATTAAAAAAAAAATGGTCCACACGGGACCGCAAAATTAGTTGTAGCCATCAAATTCTAATATATTCTTTGGATTTCACGCATTTAAATTTACCATATTTTTGCATTTAAAAAAAAAATCAAGAATTATCAGTAAAAAAGATTTTGATGGAATGTTTTGTTGGTATTATGACCCCAAATTTTCAGGGTGTGGTTTGTAATACAGTTTTTTAAATCCCAAATTTGAAGAAATATATTATAATTATGATAATATTTACGGTTTCTTAAAGTTTCATTAGCAGTCTTCTTTTTATTTTTATTTTTTAGTTTCAAGATGTTTTATTTTTGACTTTCAAAATTCTATTTTTATTGTATACAATTTGTTTTTATTTTTGTGAGAGGAATTTTAGATAATAAAGTGTTGCTGCTTTTTGATCGTCTAGAAAATCTGTGGGAATTACCTGTAATATCTTTTGAGGCAGGGGTGTGGAGTCGTAAAAAAAAAGTAACGAATCCGACTCCAGTTGTTGAAATTTTTTGTGTACAACTTGACTCCGACTCCAGTTGTTGAAATTTTTTGAGCATAACACCGACTCTGACTCCGACTAAAACTCCGACTCCAACTCCAAAGCAAAATTTTTGAAAATTTCTTTGAATTATTTAAAAAAAAATAAGCGGTAAGTTAAAAATTTCTTTTTTGACAAATTTATAAAACGTTCTTTGAGGTTTAGTATAAAAATAAGGTTAATTTAACGTTTTGATCATGCACGTGTAATACTGAGAAATTTTACTATTGGAGTCATCGTCGCGATTTTGTTTAGCGACTCCGACTCCGACTCCAACTCCACAGTCCTGCCCTGAGGAAATAAGTTAAGCGCGTAAATTGACTTTGTAGTCATGTTTTTTTAACACTGTTAGACCAATTGGACTGTAAATTTCTAAATTATTGATGTAACGCTAAGTGCCATGACTAGGCTTCCTTACACACACGGGGAGGAAGGAGTTTCTTTTACAAATTTAAAGATACTTTTTTTTTATTTTGTGGAACGCTATTGTCCCACCGAAGAATGATTTTATTAATATAAGGAACGTCTTTTACTCCACTTTTGAATATTTTCACAACTGCACCAGCAATATCAATGGCAGATCTCCCACTTAAGTATTCAGACATACGATGTTGTATACCTTTTTAGTAATATTACAGAGACCGGTTAAACTGTACAATAATAAATAAAGCAATAAAAAAATCTTTATTAGCTTTTGACAGGTTAAAAACTTTAAAACAAGGCAGGTTAAAAATTTCAAACAAGATCAAAAACAACAACTACTGTTTTTTAATTTTCTGTTGGTTTTTTTTTCTTGCCTAAAATTGTTTTATTTTCTTTTTGAATTGATACTTTCTTTCTTTTGATAAATGTTCAAAAATTTTTATCTCTTTAAACACTTTGTTAGGTTTAAAAATTGATGAATTAAAATCCTCATTGTAGATTTTTCTGTAAATGTTTTCTGTTACAGGATTTTTATCTGTAAACCTTTTACATTCTTGTTAAAGACACACTGCTATCTAAACATTCCTCAGACAGCAAGGATATAATAGTCCAGCACTGGTCCTGCGCTGGACCGGCTTTGGCTGCCGACGCTGGCGAAGCTCCGTTTTGCTCTAAGGATTTTTTATGGACCAGCCATGGCTAGCCAGCGATGGCAAAACAGCGGCTAGCCAGTGCGGGACAAGAACTGGCAGAACAACGATTAGCCGCTTTTTCATATCACCGTATTTTACCGTACCGTATCGTGATTTTGTCTTTGTTAATTAACTGGGTTGCGCATGGGATTGTTATGGATTTTTATCGGGCAATCCTATTTAAATTATTTGAAATATTTTCCTTTTAGACCCCGTCTTCTTAATTTTCTAAAGTTGTTTTTAGCATAATCGACTGTAATTTTTTGGTATAAAATTGGCGTATTTTTCATTAGTTTAAGGACAATAAAATGTATTAAACAAATTATTATTGACAATTTTAGTTATGAATAAATTTGAAAAACAGGCTTAAATTTTAAAATATATTTACGCAATTATAATACAAAGATTTGATTCATAACCATTCGAAAATGGTGCTTTTCTGAGCACGGTGATTTAAACGTGGAATGTTATTGTGAGCATGCGCATTAAATTAGCGTTTTTAAATACAAAAATAAAAATGGCGGTACTTTTTCCGTAAAGGTTATTATTTTTAGTTGGTAATTTCGTATTTTTATATGTATTTAGTCTTCGCAAACAAAAAAATAAAATTAATTTTTAAGTTATATATTTTAAAAGCTATACAATAAAAAAAAAAAATTAAGAAACCTTCAGTTGTAAAGAAACAATATTTTCTGTTTAAAATAATTCACTTTTTAAGCGAAAAAAATAAAGCATCGCCTTAATCATAATAAGATAACTTTTAATTGAAAATTTTTATATGTATTTAGTCTTCGCAAACAAAAAAATAAAATTAATTTTTAAGTTATATATTTTAAAAGCTATACAATAAAAAAAAAAAATTAAGAAACCTTCAGTTGTAAAGAAACAATATTTTCTGTTTAAAATAATTCACTTTTTAAGCGAAAAAAATAAAGCATCGCCTTAATCATAATAAGATAACTTTTAATTGAAAATTTTTGGGATAAAAAGTTAAATATATTCTTAATCTAGGTATTGCAAGGAAAATTTATACGTTATTCATTTTATCCAGTCATTTTTTTAAATCGAGATAATTTATATAATGTCAGGCTAAAAAGAAGAGATATTTTATATTTCATTATTAATTATTCGTTTCAATTTAGAGATGTTGTTATAAATAGTATCCCCCAGAGTTCTTAATCCTTGGCCTTAAGGCCAAGAATTAAGGCCTTGTCCTTAAAACTTCTGGCCTTGGCCTTGAATTTTCGGCCTTAACCTTGATTGTTTTGGCCCTGGCCTTTATAATAAAATACATAAAATTAAAGAATTAAAATTTCTCACTCTTTATTTTACGTAATTAACTACGTAACTAATCATTCTATATTTTTACATAATTACTTCATTTACGTAAGACAAAATTATAAGTCATTGGCCTTAAAAATTTTTGCGTAGGCGTTGGCCTTGAAATTCTTATTGTTGTCCCTGTCCTTGTAACTTTTGGTCTTGGCCTTGGCCTTGTAACAAGTGGCCTTGGTCTTGGCCTTGCTACTTTTGGCCCTATTAACAACTCTGGCATCCCCTAAATTCTAGTGTTAGGTGTATATATTCCGGTTCATCATATATAAAGTTTTCATTTTGAATAAAAATTTCAAATAACTTTAATAATAAGAAGCACGATTTTAATAAACTTACATTGCTTAAGGCTGAAATCAAAAAAGACATTTTAAAATGCGAGGCATGCTATGCCGATTTGTGTTAATCTTTTATATTTTAAAATATAACAAATATTATAATATGTAAAATTAGCAAAATGTTTATTAATTCTTTTTCCTTTTTTTTACGATTGGCTTCATACCTTTCGCCTTAGGGTGATTTCTTAGAAAATGTTCTTTGATAGTGCTTTCAAGTCGGTTACATCCCTTCATATGCCAGAATAATCTATTCAGATTGTTGAACTCAGCGTGCAAACTTTCACCACCTTGTTCACCATAAACTCCTATTCCTAATCTCCATTTTTCAATGAACTGAGATACGTGGCTTTCAAGTAAATACATTTTTGGTGTTATAGTAGCTTCTGGCCATGTCAATCTATAAAATTCCATCAGGTTTTTGATTGCTAATTCTAAAAAATTGATAAGATAATTCTATTATACAATACATAATGCTGAAAAAATAATGTTTAGTAATACCAAATTGTGAAAACAACTAAACAGTTTTAATAATATAGTTATGCACATAGCTTTCTGCAAGAATAAAATTGAAGTTAGTGAATTATTTACCAAGTTCCTGAACATCATAATCTTCAAAAGAATGTGAGCTGTTCATAATGTTATGACATTTAGAGTAATAAGAAAATAACTTTTTAAATTTTGGCTCACATCAATAGATAATAAGTGAACATCAGTATCTATAAAGCCAAGGTCTACAACTAGCTTAGGAATTGAATTGCATAAGTCAAGTAATGGTTGATGCTAAAAACATATATAAATATATATATATATATATATATATATATATATATATATATATATATATATATATATATATATATATGTATGTATGTATATATATATATACATATATATATATATATATATATATATATATATATATATATATATATATATATATATATATATATATATATATATATATATATATATATATATATATATATATATATATATATATATATATATATATATATATATATATATATATATATATATATATATATATATATATATATAAACCACTTACTTTTAGCATTTTGTGAACATGGTTTCCTACAAAACATTTTCCATGGTATGCTTGCCTTTCAACTTTATTTGCTTTCAATACTTCATCGAGTTTTTGAATGCATGGTCCTGAAACTTTATCTAGTTCATTACTTTCACGTAAATTTTGTAGTTCTTTTGACTAAAAAGTGTTAAATATATTATGTCAAAAAAATTCTATTAACTAAACATTTTTCATACTTTGTAAATATATTTTATTAAATAAAAAAAATTTATTTTTAACTTGACTTAAAAAAAAGAGGTATAAACAAATTTATGAACAAAATTTATGAACAAAATTAATAATTACTTATTATTTTTTGCTGAATATTACCTTGTCATTTTTTCTCAATTCATAGTAAAGTATTCTTGGCTTATAAATTTTCAAAATATTTTCAGCTCTTTCAGGTTCACGCAATACTTTTATTCCAACTGTATCTTGTAGAAGAGCAATTTTTTCTAGGCAATCTGCAATAATGCTATTTAAAAGATTTGACATGCATGGTAATGTACTTTTCAAATTCAGTTTTACCAATAATTTTATTTCTTAATGCAAGTTCTCCAGCAAGTTTTATATCAACTAAATGACACTCATCTTCTAACATAACAAAAAATTTCAAATAGATACCGAGTGATATATGTAATGCAGGCACAGCAATCTGTAAAAATAAATAAAACAACTGTGATAATTTTATTGATATAGCAGCATTAATAAAATAAACCAGAACTAATTTACTTGATCCAAAGGAATGTTAAACAAAGATTGATCAATAACATTATTGAAATGCTTTGCACTCTTTAAAACTCCTCCAGAATTCTGGAAAGATTCAAAGTTATCACTTAAAGAATTAAGTGTTCTATGTGAAACAACACGTATTCGACTTGTTGGAATTATTTTCATCTCTTCCTTAGTTATATCACAAAAGAGACAGCAATGCCGACCTGTAAAAAAGTAAGCAATACAAAACTTTATTTTTAAATAAGCAGTACAAAAAATTAGTTTTTTGTACTGCTTTTTCTAAAAAAGCCTCTTTAAATCTGAAAATAGATAAAGTCTAATTAAGTCTATTAATTAAGTCTATAAAGTCTAATTAAGTCTAAATCTAAGTCCTAAATTTTAAAAAAATCTTTCTTTATTTCAAAGAAAAAAATTTGACCTTTAGCTCCAGTGATTCCGTATACGCTGCACAGAAAATCATAGTCTCCAAACATAAAGACACGAAAATGGTGATTTCTATAACAAATCAGGATAAAAATATTACAACTTTTACATATAACTAACTACAAAGTAATATTATAATTTTGACACAATGGCACAAATTAATTTTAACATTCAGAAAACTTATTTCTTATTTTTCAGAACAAATTTCAATAGTAAAAGTCGTGACTTATCTTACTTCCAATTCATTTTTTGCATCTCATCAACTTGTTGTGTATATCTAGATAGCCCAACTTTCAGATTAGTGCGATAGTCTTTTGCTTTAAAAGTACTAAACACAAAACTATTTGATTTTGAGTTAGGCTGATTTTGATTAACAATTTGGTAGCTCATTTTAAAAGAACCACCTCCATGATCACCACCAATTTTTATATGTATTTCATCTTTTTTAATCCCATCATGATTAAGAAGGTTAAACCTTAAAATATATAAATTTGAATTTAAATTTGCATTTAAGTTTATGAATGTTAAAATAAAATAAAAGGAAGATCAATTAAAGTTTCCTTATCTACTTCTGTTAATTAATAATTAAATTTTTTAGTAATTTTTAGAAACAAACATTTACTTATATAAGATTACTAAGTTATTACTTTTCAAGAAGATTCAGTAGATTCTCTATATTGTTAGGTAGGTTCTTGATATATGCCCAAGAAGCTAGTTTGATTTCATAAACATCATGATTATTTTCTTTTTGAAATGTAAATGGTCCATTTAAAACAACTATATCATTTCCAGCCCATTCTTTTGCAACAACTCTTTGTTGTTTGAAGCAGGGGTAATATTTTTGGAATTTAACCACCTACAACATTCCATATAAAAAATAAGTTACACAAATAAAATGTTTAATGTAAATCTTTAATTTTATTTAATAACGAACAATTATAAAAATTAACTTGTAATTTTGAATAACTTTATTAAACTAAAAGATTAGTAGATTTTCAAATAAAAATATTAGGCTACATATAATTATTATAAATTTTACATTTTACTTTTACCTAGCCATAGTTTTTAATTTATTCCATGGAATACCCATATCAGCTTTTAGAGAAACCATTTCTTCTGCATTTAAATCCATTGTTCCAATATTTGCTTTTTTTAACATTTCATTTGCTTCATCTTTATCATATGACTTTAACATTACAGATGTTTGACAAATTTTAGACTCCTGTGAACTACCAGCAGTATGATTAACTTGTTGCATTAAATGTTTCTGCCTTTTACTTAAGGTCCTATTACTACAGTGTGCACTTTCTACATAAACTTTTGGAGCAGAAACAAAACAAAGTGGCTGTAAAATTACCAAAACATGACTTTATAAAACAAAAATTCAATACTAAAATTTTTAAGAACAAAAAAGTTTATCTAAAATTAGAATAATAATCTAATTCTTATAATAATAATATTCTAATTCTTATAGTTGCTTTAATACTATTTAACTTATTATAAAATAAAAACTTATTTCTTACCCTAGGTCCACCAGATGAAAATTCTATTATGGATGTTTTAGACTGATTCAATTTTTTTTTAATGACATGTAAAACAGCATCTTCAACCTCTCGTGTGATTTCATATGAGTCAGTGACTTGGTAAAAATTATTTATTCTAACTATTTTTTTTGCTTTCATCTAAAGTGTTGTTTAATAATTTTTTGCAGTCATGATTTTCACAATTAATATCTTTTAAAAGTACATTTTTGTTACAAATCTTGCAAACAGTTAAATAATCTAAGATTTCAGATATATGGATGGAATAGGTAAGGCTATCAATTGTGATGTTGGTTTTACATAACGGACAGTTTGAATCACATTCAAATTTATCCTTAACATTTGACAAAATGCATGAACTACAAAATGAATGTTGACAATTTTTCAGCATCGCAGGCTGATTCATAACTTCTCCACAAATTTTACAAATGCATAAATTTATATGTGGATTTAGAATATGGTTTAGTTTTAGAAAATTTGTTCTATCTTTAGGCATAGGTAATGAATCAAGAAATGATTTTAAATAAAACTGTGTCCATTTTTTAACCTTTCCTGGTCGTCCTCTATTGGATATTGGTTTTCGACCAAGAATGCCAAAAATACATTTGCATTCAATTAAAGGACATTTTAACCAAATTTTTGGAGTTTTAAAAACTTTATTACCTCTATTTTCGATGTTTCTAAGATTAGTATAACATCTCATGCACATTTTCTTTGGATGAATATATTGAGAATCTTCTGATATATTTATACTAAACACTTTATATATTCGATCAATTTTAGAATCAGTTTTTAAACTATCTTTTCCTAATATATTTCCACAAATTCTACATAATCTTGATAATTTTTCTTGATGATTACATGCCATAACTTACGGAGAAATTTTTGAAAAATACACCCTATTTAAAATAATTGTAATAATTTATAAAAAAATGACTGGTAAAAAGGATTATTATTTTTGAAAAGATAAAAAGAATGACTATTACTAACAACTTACCAAAATGTTACAAAAATTTTAGTTCTCCTAAAATATGACTGAACTGAATGTGTTAAATTGGCTAATAACAAAGCTTTATTAATCACAGTAATGTGAGCTTAATAATTTGAATTCTATTAAAAACTACACGTTATCAAGTTAAAATATAACTTGTTTTGCTTCTTTTCAGTCTGTATAATTACCAAAGTATCTGATTAACAACGATATAATAAAAGCTTAACACGGTTTATCAAAAAAATGATATTTATCAATTTGCTGTTAACGCATGCGCATAATAACATTCCAAGCTTTAATAAGTATTGAATCATCGTGTGAGATTCATATCCAATCGTCAACATAATTTGTTATAAATTTCTGCTTCAATTTCAATCCGTTTTAACTTTAATAAAATAAAAACAAACATAAGCACAACTTAATAATTTATTACATATATACTTATACAATATAGTAACAACATATATACAAAATGGTAACAACTTATAAACAACATGGTTATCATGTTACAATAACAATTATTTTTATTATTGACAAAAAAGTTCAATCCATTAACAACAAACCATTGTTACATAGACTTGAGTTAAGGATCTTTTTATAACTTTGTGAACTAAAATGTAATGAATATCACAATGAAAATTAACAGTTAAAACCAAATGCAGGATACTTACAAATATATTTATTAAAATATGTGGTACTTGGATTATTATGGACCAAAACTTCATTAAAAATTTCATGTTTCATGATATTTAATTTAATTCAAAGCAGATTCTAAATAAAAATGACACACAATTTATCATTTTATTATAAATAGATAACTTTAAAATCTTGCCACAGTATAATTACAATTTAAAGCATCTTAAACATTTTTTTATTTAAAATCTGTTTAGGCGGTTCTCGATGACAAGATCTTATGATCTTCTGCGAGTATCTGCGTTCTTATTGTAAAATCAACAAAATTTGTAACTCTTACTGTATGTATTTTATTCATTCTTTTATTGTAAAAGTTATTTTGAACAAACAAAAAATAAATAAAAAATTTAAAAATAAAACTTAAAATTCCTCTGAATCTTTCTAAATATTTTTATACACAGAAACTATTTAAAAAAACACGGTAAATCTAGTCATTAGTAACAGTAAAAAAAAGTAAAAAAACCTTTTCTTCACTTAAACACTGAAAACAGAAATATTAATAACTTATTTGATTAAGTATAATCTTACCAGATTTAGATAAACAATTTAACTCGAGACTTAACATTTTTGTGTCAACATTACGTTTATTGACATAGCTTCATTAATATTTGCTACATTTATGTGGTGGCATATTAATCATCACAAACAAACTCTAAAAACAAAACATCATTACTATAAAATCTAATAATCAAAATTACTTTATTTAAAGTTTTTCATATAAAGTAACAAAATAAGAAAAGATATCAAACCTATGGAATGGAGTTTTATTATCACAGTTGCAGAAAGTTTGGAGCATTCATACTAAAACGAAATATATAAAAATATATGCTACATACTAATACAAAAATCAGGTTAATAGCATCATTATTGGCAATTCTTTATAAATTATAATAAAAGCGTTTTAAAAATGAAATTAAATGAAGAAAATGACTTTGGAAGTTGACATTAGGGCAAATCAAAGACTTCTTGAAATTATTAGATTAAAGAAATATAACGTTAATAGTACATCATTATTTAGACCTCACCTTGAATATTGAACTTAGAATATTGAATTTAGACCTCACCTTGAATATTGAACCAAATTAAGAAGTTTACATATACGGAAACATGTTATTACGATTGAACAACTCCAACATAGAGCAATTCGTGTTTATAGTTTAAAAGATTTATCATGTAAAAACTCACTGATAAACTTCTCTACACATTAAAAATTAGAAGATCAAGAGGTGATGTGATATAACTATACAGAACTATTAATGACTTGGATGTAATAAATTGGCATAATGTTCCAATATTAATAAAAAATTCTATTACAAAAGACATCAAAAAATGATATATAAACAACAATCCAAAAAATCAAATGGTCAACATTATTTTTCATAAATAGAATAGCTGACAAATAAAACCATTTATAGCTAGAAGTTGTGAAAGCGATAAAATATAACTCAGTTAAATTTTTAACAATCTACGATAAATATATACAAACTCTGAAAAGCTGTTAAAGTCTGACATCTACTTTTGTTTGAATATACACTAATAATGTGCATCACAACTTTGTTGGTTTATTTATTGTATATATAAGTAACTAAATAAGCAAATTAATTTAAACAAATATTAAATAATGATTAAACTCCTAGAAAAAAAATAAAAATATAAAGTCAGCAACAAATTTTTCAAATTATTTTGTTAAGAACACTTATATGTTCAAATCTAGATATATAGACTTGGTAACTTTTCCTATATAATGCTTCATATGTTAGTAATACTTAGGTATCCATTTTTTGACTTCAAAAACTTTGCATAACACAATAACATTTTTTACTATATTTATAAAGAAAATGTTATCTTTATATTATTTCTATTAAACTATAAGAATATAAAAGATAAATGTGTTAATAACAATCAAATTATATTACAGAAAAGTTATGAATATGACAACAAAAAGATAATAAAATAAAGAAAAATAGTTAAATAATCTATGCAGTAATATACATACATTTTATATTTCCTTTTCTATCAAAGCAACATTTCTATCAGCTTTTTTTATCAATATCATTCTTATATATAATGATCGCTATGTTACTTGTAGTGTAACAACACATCCTATACGAAACTTTATTTATTTAACAAAAGAATTAATTGCAATGATTTATTTAGAAATTATTTGAAAAACATAAATTTTATTTTATAAATATTAATTTTTAAAATTTATTTAGAAATTATTATGTACGCAATATAGAATCACCTAAAGGAATTTTTTTTTAAATAAAGTTTTAAGATATATTTGTATAAAAAAATGAAAAAAACGACTTTCAAGATGGATGCAAAATTTTGCACAGTAAACGCAAATGCTCTTGTTTATATCATTTTTAATTTAATTTTACCACTAATGGGCCAGTATTGGCCCAATGTCTGTTTTTCTGCTTCAGTAAATCTTTGTTGGACCATTAATGGTTTTTTTGTGGCTACCTAGCTCAGGCAATTTTATAAAGGCTCAGCAATGGCCCTGTTACGGCTTCCCAGAACCATAGTCAATAGAAGTTATACCTTCAGGTATAACTTCTATTGGCTATGCCAGAACTGGCAATACAAGAACGGAACTTTATCGGGCCTTTAAAGAATTTGCTGGCATTGGCTAGCCATTATTGGACCACTATATACTTGCTGTCTGGATCTTTTTACTACTGACACGGCAGTAATGGGATTCAGCAACCGAAAATAATTTAATGTGATATTTAAATGTTTTATTTAAATGTGAAATTTCTGATTTTTTTTCCACCTGATTCATAAAATTTCAAACCTATTAAGTCATCTGTTAGTTGTTATCTTGCCTTATAAACTTCATCTTTTCTCTTCCAGTAACTTTCAACTCTAAAAGTGGTTGCTTGCAGCCTTGTTGGAAGTGAAGATATTAAAAAAAAAAATTAAAAAAAAAACATTTTATTGGCCTAATCTATTGTATTAGCTGGAATTTTATGCATGTTACACTTTTTTTTTTGTAACAAAGTTCTTTTTCTAGTAATAAAAAAAATCCCAAGAAAATAAACAAAGGAAATGATATAAAATTTCCAAAGAAGTAAACTAAAATTAAAATCATCTAAAACCAGCAGTAATTTATGTATTAAAAACTAATAATAACTAATCTAGTTCAAAAACTGTAACAGTATGCTGAACATCAAACAAATAAGATAATAAAGGCTATAACCAACCAATCTGTAGAAAAAATAACTTTTTATTTGCTGAGTAATGCAAATAAAACTTTAATATAATTACCTCAGAAATAATTCATAACATAATAATCAATAATAACAAACCATTTAGTTAAAAAAAGTAAATAAGTATTTCACCAATCATCACCATTAAAACTAGTTAAACTAAGTAACCCAGTACAATCTGCTTCATGTCCTGCAGCCTTGTAGGATATGCCTTTTTAGGCAAAAGCTAGGAGATGCAAACTCCGACATAAAACACTCCCTGCCTTGGGGCTCTTGGTTGAGTAAAGGCTAGAGATGGTGTCTCGATAAAAATACTCATCTTGGGCAGATGTTAAATGCAAATGCAATGTATTTTTAATACATTGTTTCCAGTTTAAGATGTTGAACGCTGGATCTTCATGATTCGATTCATGGGTTTTGCTTGTGTCTCTGTTTTTATGACTAGGCAACTCATTCTATTATCACCAAATGAGGGTACAGCTCTAAAACTCAGTTTTATGGTTCTGAGGCCGGCTGGTAGTCAGTTTTCCCGAACTCTGTGGTAGCTCTCAGAGAGGCTGATTCCATCAACAGCTGAAAAATATCAGAGTACTAACAGTGCGATGTTGCGCATGGATGGTGTCCCTGTTTGTACTTTTGGTGTGCATTGCCAAGGCCACATTAAAGCCCTTTGTTACGGCTTAAGGTTTATTAGTGGAAATGAGGCAATTGCTTGAGCTATAAAACAGTGTACTGAGTACTATCTATGTTTCAAGTCAAGTTCTTTAACAAGTCAAGTTCTTTAACAAATTTAAAAATGAATAAAGTAACAAAAACTACAAAACACAAAAAACCACAGTCATCACCAAGTTCGCTAAACCTATCATTCACAAATATTTGTGGTCTTCGAAGTAACTTTTCTTCTGTTGAGTCTTATCTCTTGCAAAGTTCACCAGACCTACTTGCTCTTTGTGAGACTAATTTGAGTTCAGCTGTCTCATCTTGTGATCTTAGTGTTGATGGTTATCTTCCTTTAATTTTTAAAGACTCCAATAGTCACATGCTTGGCCTGGGCATTTACATTCGTAAGAATTCACCCATTTGTCAGGAAACTAGGTTTGAATCCACAGACTACTCTTTTATGTGCTTTTGTTTAGCACCACTTCACTCTATCACCTTTCTCTTTGTTCTATATCGCTCTCCCTCATCCCAAGACTGCACTCTTCTTGATATTATTTCTGATTATATTGACCAAGCCCTCATTCTTTATCCATCAGCCAATATTGTTGTTGTTGGTGACTTTAATGTTCATCACACCGAATGGCTTGGCTCTAGTGTCAGTGACTCTGCAAGCATTAAGGCCCACAACCTTTGTCTTTCTCAATCCTTAACTCAAATAGTCAACTTTCCAACTCGCTTTTCAGACAACCCGAACCATTTACCTTCTCTACTCGACTTATGTCTTGTTTCTGATCCTAGTCATTGCTCAGTTTCTTCACACTCACCCTTAGGTGCTTCTGATCATGGTTTGGTCTCTCTAAAACTATTATCTCATTCTTCTTTACCATCATAATCCCCCTATAATTGTACATCTTACAACTACCATAAAGCTGACTGGGACTCTTTCCGTGATTTTCTTCGTGATGGCCCCTGGGTAGAAATCTTTCGTCTCCCTGTTGACAAATGTGCTTCTTACATAACTTCGTGGAGTCAGGCTGGCATGGAATCTTTTATTCCCTCTCGACAATTCCAGGTCAAGCCTCACTCTTCTCCATGGTTTTCCTCACATTGTGCTGCTGCAATTGCCAATCGAAACCATTACTTCCATATCTATCAGCAAAACAATTCTCCAGAAAACAGAAGTCTGTTTATTACTGCTAGGAACCATTGTAAAAAGGTTTTGTCTAATGCCAAAGCCTGCTATTCTCAAATCATTAAATCTTGTATTTCATCACAAAAATTAGGCTCTCGTGACTTCTGGAGAATCTTTAATAGTATCAATAAGGGACAGTCTATAATTCCACCTCTTTTGTATGGTTCAGACTTTGTCACCTCACCTAAAGACAAAGCTGAATTGTTTGCCAAGAACTTTTCATCAATATCATCTCTTGATGCCACTAGTTGCGTTCTACCTGATATAGCCGTCAAACAGGTTGATCCATTGCTCGACATTCGTATCACTCCAGCTTCTGTATCTAAAGTGACTTCCCGCTTAGACTCTTCTACAGCTTGCGGCCCGGACAACATACCTGTTATAGTCTTGCAGAAGTGTTCTCCGGAGCTGTTGTCTATCCTTTACTATTTAACAAGAGTTTATCAGAGTCTTGTTTTCTAGCCTGGAAAGCAGCATCTGTAATCCCTATTTTTAAAAATTCTGGAGAGTGATCCGATTCGTCTAACTACCGTCCCATTAGTCTTCTTCATATAATAAGCAAGATTTTTGAATCTTTAATTAACAAACACTTAATCTCTCGTCTCGAATCTCATAACCTACTTTCTGATCATCAATATGGATTTCGATTTTCTAGTTCTACGGCTGATTTGCTAACAGTAATAACCGATAGGTTTTATTGTACATTAGATAAAGGTGGAGAGGTTCAAGCCATTGCTCTTGACATTTCTAAAGGCCCTTTCTCTTTTAGACAAGGTGTAAAAACACATTGTAAACATAGTTGGACCTGCTCTTGCAGCCAAACTTCAACCTCTGTCACATCGTCGTAATGTTGCTTCTCTTTCTCTTTTCTACAAATACTATAATGGGCATGGCTCGAAAGAGCTAGCGTCTCTTGTGCCATCTACTAAAATTCATTCTCAAGTTACTCGCCATTCAATTAAGTCTCATCCTTTTTCTGTTACTGTTTCTAAGTGATCCAAAAACTCTTATTCTAAGTGCTCCAAAAACTCTTATTCGTCTAGTTTTTTTCCTCGAACATCAGTTCTTTGGAATTCGCTTCCTTCATCTTGCTTTCCTGATTCATATAATTTGCAATCTTTCAAGTTGTCTGTCAATCGTTATCTTGCTCTACAATCTTCATCTTTTCTCTTCCAGTAACTTTCAACACTAATTAGTGGTTGCTTGCAGCCTTATTGGGAGCACTTTATAAATCAAAAACTTGCAAATGACGCACTGTTTACTGAACTAAATATGCATGATTTAGAACATGAGATTTTGACTGAAGACATGCATTCTTAACAGCTATTTAAAAAAATTATAGAAAAATATTTAACATTGCGTCTGCACTCATATGGTCAGCTGTACACTAGAAATGAGTTGCATAAAGCCTTTATGCAACTTTATACATCTTATACATCTTTATGCAACTTTATGCATTTTTATGCAACTTTATGCAACTTTATACATCTTATACACTTTATACATCTTATACATCTTTCCTTTATTAAAGGAAAGATTGGATTACGGCAACAGTCCAATAAGCTTGTTTTGTTGAAAGGTTTATGAAAAATTACAATAGTAGTATTCAATATTATTTGTATGCTATTTATGCCAAAAAATAAAATTATTTCTTTAAAACAAAAATTTTATTATTTCTGAAAATTCCTCAACTCTAACTATTAACTGTAAGTTACAGTTTTTTGAACTAATTTAAATTTTTTAATTGAAAACCTACATTAAAATTAAAAATTTATACCTATTTATATCAGCAACACTTTTGATTTATTTTCATAATGGAATATGTGTTCTTTTATAACAATAACTTAAAGGTTTCCAACAGAGTACTTTTAAGTTACAGTTGTACAAGTCAAAAACATATTTTTTGCCAACATATATATATATTTGCCAAGTAAAAATGTAATATCTTTGTATTAAATAATAACTTCTAACTTTCTTTATCTACAAACGCTTTTAAATAGCTGTTTTTAAATAACAGTTTATAAATAGATATTTTTAACATTTAAAAAGTTAACATCGCCAAAATGTTTTTTTCTTTGCTGCGGCTACCGGCTTTATAACCTTCAAACTTGTTTCATATTTTCTTACGGAATTTATACGAAGTTAGACATCTAGTTAAATATATATCATTGCTTTTAACTTTTTTGCTTTTAAAAGTTTAGCCTTAACGACACTAAACACTAAACTAAAATAGCGGGTTCGGTGTCGAATTGATGTAATGTACGATGTGATGTAATCAAAACCCGCTATGTGATGTAATCAAACTAAGTGATGAATTCAAAACACATCTACGTTATATAATTAAAGCAAGCTATTTATCTGTTAAGTGATGCAATCAAAAATACTATATAAACTCTCTTGTTTTTATTCGACAACTCTTATTTATGATGTCGATTTTTATAAAATTGTGTATAAACATATATTACTTTATCTCTAACCTTAGTTTAATAAGTTTGATATCGATTAGTATCCTAACAATAATAATTTTTGGAGTTTATAGTTGGTATCTAAATAATGGAAATAATGGTAAAAATCCATTTTCAAGAGAATGTATTAGACCTCACTCATCACTTGTAGTTGGGAAAGATGAGCGCAAAGCGATCCTCAAACAGGTGTGTTTACTATTGAGAAATTTAATATATATGATACACAAAATATATAATACATAATATATATTCCACTTTATTTTAAATACAATTTTCCAAATTGGTTAAATATAAGTAGAATATATAGGATATAAAAAATGGATTATCCTGCAGTTAAGCAGCCTAAATTTCTCAGCTTATTACGTTCTTGTCCTTTTATCCTAGAGCCTTTTATAATGTTTTATTATTATAAACAAGTAAAATTAAAAACGAATTTTTAAAATGGAATGCTTTTTATATGTTATTTAAACACAAATTTTGCAATCAATTTTTTTCTGATATTACTATTACAGGAATAAGCTGGTCTCGAATAACAGACATTCCGTTTACAAAGTCAACGCCTTATCCTAACGCGCGTTTAGATATAATTCAAATAAATATTCAAATAATAACTAGTAATTATTAAAGAAATAAAAAAAACTCAGAAAAAAGTTACGCTTGGTTTCTGATGCCTTTTTTAAAACCTTCTAAAACAAAAAGAATAACAAGTGTCATAAATAATATGGTTTTCATCCCATGATATTAAATTACTATTTACCATAAACACCAGTTAAAAAATTAGTGGTTTCACCATTACGGAAACGTAGTATTATATTATAATAACTTTCCATAAGGAATGTAAAAGCTGATAAAAGCATGCGACAATCGAAATTAAAATCTCAAAAAACAGGTGTTTAACTCGAGTAAAACTGCCCGTAATATTCACGTGGTTGGTTTACGCATGAATTGTGCCCGTAATATACACGTGGTTGGTTTACGCATGGACTGTGACAAACATGTGTCTATACAGGTTTTACTTCCGAAAAAGAAAGTAGATGTGCCCGTTGTGAAAAAGGTGTTTCTGAACTTGATTATAAATGCATTCTTCTAAAAACTAGATTATTCTTATTAATAAAAAAAAAACATTGTTATTACACTAACTCTTTTATTACTTGATTTTCATAACATTTAATAAACTACACACTGATTAATTTATAATTAATAAATTTTAACATTTAATAAATTACACACTGATTAATTTTTTAGTATTTCTAAGGATTTAATTTTTATAATTCTACTTTCTTATCATCGTCAAAATCATGACCAATTTATCAGAAATCATGACCAATTTATCAGAAATCATGACCAATTTATCATCGTCTTATCATGACTAATTAATCAGAAGTAGCACCTAAATAACTTTGATTATTCCAAAGTCTACTTTTGACTACAGTTAAAGAGGTAATAAAAGTGAGTATTTATCTAAGGCTTTAGATGCTTCATCATTACATTAATAACAAGCGTCATTACACTTTTAGAAAACCACAACTTATTTTGCAGCCAATCAAATAAAGATATTTTAGAAGCATTTGAGTTTTTCAGCCATAACAACTATACAATCTTTCGAAATTAAAGTCGAAAGTAAAAATACGAAACCATTGAGCTTGATACCACGGCAATGATTGTCCAATTATCCTAGAGATTTCCACACAAATTGAAATTCTTATAAGATAAAGTTATTGATAAATCTTTTCTTATAAGAAAAGATTTATCAATAACTAAAAAATCCGAAAAATTTTTTTTGTAGGCAAAGACTAAATAAAATTAACTCTGACTGAGCCAGAACTATAACCAATGCGCCGCAGCTGCACTAGTCATTCACTACTGACCGCTCATGAAAGCCATTAGTATAATTGGTTGCAAAGTTAGCATTTACTAAGGTTGCTTCTCGTGCCAGCTATTACTTCTGATTTGGTTTTCTACCTCTATAAATCTCTTATTCATCTCTGTATGGACTACTGTTGTCATATTTTGACTGGTTTTCTAAATGATGTTCTTTCTTTTCTAGACAAGGTCCAAAAAGACATTGTAAGCTAACAGACTTAAGCTATTTAGCATAAATTTTTTCTATCTTCCGAGCTTGTTGCACTCTCCCATTGTCGTAAGATTGTATCTTTTTCTTTTTTCTCAACCAAAAAATTCTTTCACATCGTCATTTTTTCTGGCTCATTCACCCTTAAGCTTTTTAAGTCTTCTGTCAACTGTCTCCTTGCTCTTCAACACAATTTTTTGTTTTGTAGTAGCTTTTGATTTAGTAGTGATTGTTGCCAATTTTTTGTGAATAAATATTTTTTTCGCTTGTTGCACTTAGTGGAGGGTTTATAAACATTAGGAGTTTTAAACAAAATAATAAAAAAAAAAGATTGCTGTCCTATACCAAACCCTCAGTTGATGTAGCAACATGTCCATATAGCAGCTATAAGTCAATGCTATAAGTCATTTACTAAAGCCAATATATATTCTTTACGTGTATATATATATATATATATATATATATATATATATATATATATATATATTTTTTTTTTTTTTTCTTTTACTTGATTGTTCAAAACTTTCCATATATTATTCTATTTAATTAAAATTTTATATTCGAAATTATTTTTTTGTTTTTTAATCTTTACAAATTCGTAATATATAACAGAATTGTTTACAGAGTATAGTAAAATTAAAAAAAAAAATTACAATGTTACGTTATACAAAAAATATATAAAATAAAACTGTAAAGTATTAGAAATTACTTTAAAGAAGGCGGGAAAGTTTCAGAAGACCGATGAACGATGGTCTTGACATCAAGAAACCGCTATGCGTTACTAATAGTTTTAGATAGTTCAATTTAAAATAAGTTTATATTTAAAATATAATGTTATCAGTTTTGACAGAAGAATAATAAAAATGCAAAAAACAAAGAATGCAGACAAAAAGAAGTTTTTAATTTTATTTCAATACACATAAATATGAGTAGGTACAGATTATAGTCGTTCACGTTTTGATAAATATGCCTATTATTTATTATTAGTTTTTTGTTGTTGTTGTTGTTTTTTAGTTATTTAGAGTTTTTAGAGTTAATAGATTGGTTTCAAAACAAAGTTAATTTTATACATAGTTTTAAATGTTTTTGGGTTAATATAAATTTATAAAGTTGTTAGTGTTTAAAATGAGATCTTTTTATAACGTGTTTAGAATATTCAAGTTATTCGATTTTTCCAGTTGAATATTTTTGGATAATAATTTGTTATATAGACAATGTCCACGGTACGAAAAGGGAAATAAGTTTTTTTTAAAGGTATTTAAATATTAAACCAATATAATGCATTTAGACGCATACTTTTTCGGGCAGGAGAGTTAAGTGCAACTCACTTAGTTATCTTGTAAACGTTGAATGGTATTCTTACTCTTGTAAACCTTAAATGATATTCTTTCTTTTGTAAACATTGAATGGTTTTTTTTCTCTTGTAAAAGATGAATGGTATTCTTCCTACTAATCACAATAAAAATAATCTTTTTTTTTTTTTAATATTTAACACAGCTTAGCATAGATTTAACTCTGTCAGAAACTGACTTTTAAAGTTAAGCGTATAAAGTGTTTTAAAGTTAAGAACGCATATTACTGTAATTATAGTGTTATATTAAACAGTATAGGAATTGAGCCGTTTAATTACAAAAACTAAACAAGGGCGCCGAGAGCCTTTATGCCGTCTGGAACAGCAATCCTGATTGGTGCGTTTTTTTTCTAAAATTTGCAATATTATAAGTGAACAACTTTTTTTTTAGGTACCTTTTTTATTCGGGCCCCCTCTCCTTTGGACACCTGCCGGTCAGGGCAACTGTCCCTTTCGCCTTCTCCCTCTTAACGGTCCTGTATATATATATATATATATATATATATATATATATATATATATATATATATATATATATATATATATATATATATATATAATATATATATATATATATATATATATATATATATATATATATATATATATATATATATATATATATATATATATATATATATATATATATATATATATATATATATATATATATTTGTATTTATTATTTTGCTAGAAATTTTTATCTGCAAGCATTCCTTCAGAACTTGATGCTATTGTCATAGGAAGTGGTATTGGAGGATTGTCTTGTGCAGCCTTACTTGCTAAAGCTGGTAAAAAAGTTTTGGTTCTTGAGCAGCATGATCAAGCAGGAGGATGTTGCCACACGTTTATTGAAAAAGGTTTTTATGAAATTTATGAATTTATAAAAGTTTTATAAAACAAATTTTTTACATTCAAAGCAAGATACATTCTTGACAAATTTTACGAAAGAAGCCAAGCCTTTAAAGATGTTTGCCAAAATAATAGGGCTACTGAAAACAGTGTTTTTTAGAAAACACCTGTTTTACTTTTGTTACTATTAAAACTCTTTGTTTTAGAATTTTTTAAATTAACTATTTTTTAAGTTTTGAAATTTTCTTTAATACTTTACATCTTAACATCTTAATATCTTAAGGTTTAGAACCACAAACTTCCGGTCCAGAACTCTAACCATTACACCGCAGCTGCCAAAATAAACTTTTTTTTTATAATAGTATTTCAAAAATACAAGGGATGATAATGATTTATGAAAGTACAAAGATACAAGGGCTGATAATAGACCGGGTGATTAAAAAAAAACCAATTGCTTTTGATCAGTATTTGTTCAGCTTTACGCGAATAAAAGTTTGAGCGAATTTTCTAAAGCTTTTATTAACGTAAAGTTGAAGATTTACTCTAAAAACGCTGAGTAAAAGTTTTTTTTTATTCACCTGGCCTAATGACTATCTGAAAGTCGTTAACTTACTTTTGTACAAAAGTTGGCGCACACTGAAAATACTTTTTTAAGGTGGTTGCTCGAGCAACAACATTTTTTTTGGCCCTGTGAATTTAAATAATCAGATAAGTATAGCCTTGACTAAAAATATGTTTTTAAGAGGATAAGTTTTTTTTGCCTTGATTACTCTATTTTATCGTTAAAGTAAGACAAAAATATGCAAAATTTTAAAACATGATACAGATAGTAACATAGAAACGACATCAAATTTTCAACAATAACATAGTAACGACAACATTTTCGTACAGAAAACTTAACTTTATAAGGAAAACTTAATGTGTTGCTAAAGAAAAATGAATCACCAGCAGTGTCTTCTAGACAGAACAATTTCAGATTGTTAAAGACTGAATTTACCCTTTTTAAGAGTACAGGCCTACGTACAGAAAACCTACACGCTTGTGTAGGTTTTCTGTACGTAGGCCTGTACTCTTAAAAAGGGTAAATTCAGTCTTTAACAATCTGAAATTGTTCTGTCTAGAAGACACTGCTGGTGATTCATTTTTCTTTAGCAACACATTAAGTTTTCCTTATAAAGTTAAAATTTCATCCGTAAGATTAGTGGCAGTCGCTTCCATAACATTAACATTAAAAAGTTGAGATACCAGCATAATTTATCGAATCTCTGGATTTTCAAAGCAATTTAAAAATTTTTTGAATTGAAAAATTCTTCCTCTTAAAAAAAAAATTGAAAAAAAATTTAATACCTTTTTTTTAATTAGGAACTACTAACATTAAAAAAAAAAATTCCTAACATAAGAAAAATAAAAATCTTTTAAGAAAATATTAAAAAAGTTAAAATTGGAAAAAAATTAAAAAAAGTTAAAATTTAAAAAAATCTTTGGGTGGTTGCAGAGTTAGCTAAAGTTTCTCAAACACGAATACTAGTATTGCGTCAGCGCTCAAGTGTGTTGCATTTCATTTTCTAAGAATATTTATTACTAGTTTAATAGGTTTAATTTCTACGTTATTGAATTAACATAAATCAGCTTCAAAATCTGATAAGGGTTTTCGAGTCGCCGTTCTAGAGACGGCGACAGAGCTCTGTCTTTACTAATGGCTCAAGCAGTTTTGGTATTGTGTACTGGCAAGATTTTACATAAAGATAAAGCTCATTTTTTTTCAAAAAGAACCTTGACTTTAGATTGAGAAACGTGATTTTGAACAATTAACAGTTTTTTTTTTCTTAATCAACTTGCGTGAGTTCTTAAGTAAATTATTGTATTCATCATCATCACACTCATCATTTATAATCAATATTGGTGCCTTTGTCAAAAGAATCATTTTTATTATTTTGATCATGATAGTCGCCGCTTAAGTCTTCACTATCATATTTTTCTTATAAAGTGTGTCACATACAAATATAGACTATGATTAAGACAAAATTGACCAATAACATCTAATTTTCGAATATTCTTAATTACAGATGCTCTACCTTGGGTAAATTTAACCGAAAGTTTTAATTTAACCGAAAATAATTCCGTTTTATTGTCATACGATATTGTCTGCGTGATGTTGTTAGTTTGAATAACAACTCAAAAATATCTTTTTCCTCTTAAAGAAATAGCATTATTGACAGTGATCCTAAACAGTACTTTATTAGTTAATTTTAATTTTATGATTTGAATTTTTTTTTTACTTGCTTTTCATCAAAAACTTTGTGCAAAAGTTTTTGATGAAAGCATTCCAACACTTTCAATAGTGGAGAGTTTAAATCCATCTCAAGCTATTGAATGGCGAATGTTTTTATTTCTGGTAATGGCTCGAATCGAAATGCCAACCGCACCCAAACCAGAGTCATTAAAATCAGAGTCTTTGGTGCTAAAAAGCAATAGAGTAGCGAAAAAAAATGAGCGCTCCCGAAAAAAATTTATTCGGGCCCCTAAATTACTGTTTGTGAAAGCAAAAATTTTATTTTATAACGCAATTTTAATTTAATGACATAGAAACCAGTATCTTGTAGTCCCCAAGTGTAGAATGTAAAAATTCTAATGAAAGTGTTTTTTTCTTCTGCTTTATGTTTAACCTAAAAGATTTTTTGACTTGTATAGCACTCCTATACTTTTTGCTAATTTTTTGTTTAGATAGTTAATATAATTTTACTAAGTGAGGTTTTCATCAATATAAACACTCAAGAAATTGGTAACTTTAGCTCTAATTATTTTATTATTAATAAACACATATTCAAACGTAGATTTTTTTTGAATCTGGGTAAAAATGGCTCACAATTTAAATTGTTAAATGTTGATAAGTTATTGTCAATTAAAAAAAGGTTTGTATTATAGATAAAACACATTTTTTTTAATTTTATTCTAATTGAGATTGTAAAGGTAAGCTGATAAATGGTCCTTGTCAATGCCGGATTAACCGGTTAATTTTGGCCCCCAAAAAATAGGGTTCTAGTAGCAGCCCCCAGATTTTGAATATATATGCCGCAGCAGTTGTGGGTTTGTTGGGGCTTCTATATCATCACTGAGAGGGCTTTGAAACATACAAAGTTCCCAGCTATTTAATAATAGGGATAAGAAGGTTCGCATGTTAACCTATTTTTTTTGTTTCAGATGTAACAAATTATGTATAAAATCTGTTTTTGCAATTGGCTTGTATGTATATTTTTACTTTTAACTTTTTATTGTAATGTGATTTTTTTTTTTAATTAATAAAATGGCTAAAAAATAAAAAGAGCATTACTTATATTATGAATATAACATGAGTTATCTTATTATGAGTATAACATGAGTTATTTTATGAGCTTAAATTTAAGAACTATAGCTACAACTTTTTAATAAAAAACTAAAACTGATTTGTTCTGGATAAAGATGAAAAACGTCAGACAAAATAAAATCACTTCACTTTTGAAGAAAATAAAAACTTTATTAGTTGCTTTTATAAAGAAGCTTAGACACAAAATCATGTTACGATTTTAATTAGAATTAAACACTTATTACATATCATAAACAAGATTAAAATGTACGAGTTTGCAGAGAGTAAGTTTGGTTTTTCTAACCAGTTTTCTGATCATGACTGTTCCTGTCTTTGTTGTTGCTGCCAAATCCTTGTGTACTTTTTAGCCTTTAGATTTAAAAACACAATTACATGATAAAGTTGTCCAGTTTTCCGAGTTCATAGCAAATGAGATGAAAATATTAGCACTAGGATGTTTACAAGCAAATAATAGAAATGAGTTAAAATTAGTTTTTCCAATTGCCGACGTTGCATATTGGATTCTAACCCTGCCTATTGCCTATTGTAGTGCAGAGCGAGCATTTTAAAATATGGCAAGAGTTAAAAATGATCTCCGTTTATCAAAGTTATATGCTCGTTTAAATTCTCTTTGAAGAAGACGTATTTGATTTTTAAAGCATTAAAAATTTCTTTATTTATAAAAGAGTAATTTCATGTTTTGCTTCATTCATTTTTAAATATATATATATTTTTAAGAAAGGGGCTCCCAAATAATATTTGCACCCAGCCCCCAAGACCCTTAATCCAGTCTTGGTCCTACCCAAAAGTACTTTTTTTTAAACGTTTTTTGGACGTTTTTATTAGTTTTATACCTATAAAAACGTCCAAAGACGTTTTTATAGGTATAAAACTAATAAAAACGTTTAAAAAACGCATTGTGCCCACTGAGTAGTATGGATTTTTGGTCCAATTGCTTTATTAAGTTTAAGGATTTTGTAAGCAGTGTCAAATTCTTCAAATGTTGTTTTAAAGATATTTAGAGAAGAAACTAATTAATATAGTTAGCATTAATTTTTAAAATATAATTTGAAAAAAAAAACTATTTTAAACATCAGTCAAGACCAATATTAAAGCTAAATAAAATAAGCTTGCATTTCTTAGCAATGATAGCATTTCTTGCATTAATTATAGTAAAAATTGTTAAATGTTGATATGCATTTTGTATTTTACAGTGGCAACTTTTAAAGTTTTCCTTGATCAGCTCTCGCCCCTAATAAATTTGGCCTCCTCGTGGCTGCAAGCTCTTCGCTACGCTACTGCTATGAAGCAGCCAAAAGCTTGTCTCTTCTCACTTGCTCTCTTATCTGTTGATACGATTGATTCTAAACAAACTCTGTGATTATTCAAATGTTTTTTTAAGAATTGTTGTAGAATTTCCTGAGCATTTTATTATTTTGCAACAACGCTGACACTGTCCTTTTAACTCTTTTGTTATTAGATTTTCACGTTTTCTTGAGTGCAGCAAGTTTTATTAAATTGTTTTTTTAAATCCATCTCCATAACTTTTTTTCAAATCTGTTCACAGTATTAAATTTGGTTTTCTGAAAGCTTCTTGCTCAATAGATAATAAATGAAAAAATCCAACTATTTTATCTGCCTTGCTAATTAATACAACAAGAATTG